GATTCAATATCAAAATTTCATCGATGTTACCACCAGCATGCTTTCTTTCAAATGGAAATATTGCTGTCAAACTATCGAATCGCCTGCAATAGATGTCAAGCAATAAGCGCTGACACATGTTGCAGCCCATGAGAAATAGGCGGTTTCCATTGGAAATATATTTTGTGACATGGTTATCACGACATCAGTGATTTCCTGTGGAGACAGGGTCTTAGGAATGTTCGATATCATTTCGATTATTCTGAATATCGGTATTTCATGGTGCGATAATCGATTTTTTAATCGATATTCCAAAGTCGATATATAGAAGACATCGATACTTTACCCGCAATATCGATATTTAAGTTGAAAATCTTGTTACTTTTGTTAGTAGCCTGTAAGAATTTTTTGTTCATAGACTATAGCGAGCCTTAACCGCCGAAATAACGTTAGCGACATTTTTCTCTTCTTTTTGATGCAGAAATGCATCAAGATGCTCAAGGAATATTTCTGCATCAAAAAAAGAAAATTTTGAAAAATGTCGCTTTCGTTATTTTGCGGTTACGGCCCGATGTATTAAATAAATAAATAGATATAAGTTTTAACAATTTTAGCTCACACAAAAATAGAGCTTTCGCATGACGGTTTATTTGATTTTTCAACTGCCAAAAGCTAGGCTTGCATTTACTTGCATTTGATTTATGCAAAGAATTTTTACATTTCAAGCGAAGCAGTCTACAAAGTTGAACTGTTTAGTATATAAATAGGTGCAATGCCGTATTCCTCGGACTAAAACTAGTAAAACTGTCAAAAAATAAAAATTCGCTCAGAGCGAGAGAGTAACATTGAAAAGTACGGGATCGCTTTCTAGTAAAAAATGGTAACTTCTGTCAACTTCAACATAACCTCCAAATTTTGGTTGTAAATTTTTGCTTATTTTGTATGTAAACACACTCAGCTCACACTTGTAAATAACCAAAAATACTTTCAAATTCACTAGTATCANGTCGGGTCTACGTAACCGGAACGACCCAGATTTATATCTGGCCAAGGACTGTCACTCCAGCAACACTCCCCAAAAAGTCTTTTGGGGAGTTTGTATGCTGTTACAACAACAACAACATGGGATTTTCGTGTGTAAACAGACCGTTAAAAATTGCCTCTTTGATAAACTTGCTTACAGTATGGCAACGCTGCCGTCGATTATAAAACGAAAGGAATTAAAATTCGCTCTTGCTAGATTTTTGTCGTAAACGCGGCTTTTTAACAAATAAAGTTCAATAGCCATAGAAACGTGAAATTGGAGACAATAAAATACCATACTATACAATGGCATAATAACAAAAGAGCAAAAAAAAGAGCAAATGAAAATTTTTTATTCAGCCATCTTGGCTATTGCGAAAGGTCGTACAAAAGTACATATGTGGCAACGTCGAGTGCTATTGGTGTAAAAAATTGGATAAACTATTGAATTTAAATAAATTGAGCGAAACAAGTGCAGTAATTGAAAATCGTTTTTTATATATAAGCATATGTACACAAATATGCAAGCATTTTTAAGGTTTTTGTCTATATTTTCAATGTACTATAACTGCACCTACATATATGCATACAAACATAGTACATTACAACAAAGCCAGACCTCCACCTTTTCCACTGATTTTCGTTTATATGCTTTTGTTGTTTTTTGCCATCTGCCTTTCTTTTTAGGGTTAACTTCTGACAGCTGTTCGCTGACTGACCCCGCAAACACACCGTGTGTGTGTGTAGTTGCAGTTTGTGGTTTGTTGTTTTGTCCTTTTTTAGCCTTGCTGCTTGATTGTAAATTGGCTCATGAAAAGTGATCAAAATACTGCATTTTTATCACAATCATAACGCTACGTGACGAAAAAAATTAAATTTGTCAAGGAAACGGGGAGTTAAACGGATGTTCTGATGCAGTGACTGGCGTGATTGTTGAATAAAGTGGCAGCGGTCAAAATATATTAAAAAGCTACAAATTATGAACAAATCGGAGGAATAAAATACTCAGTAATATACAAGTCGTGAGTTAAAATTTTACCAGCTTGGAGCATCGTGNCTACAAATTATGAACAAATCGGAGGAATAAAATACTCAGTAATATACAAGCCGTGAGTTAAAACAATTCGCACTGTGGTTGTTGCATCAGAATGTGTGTATTATGTTCGCGTGCTTTGCAAGCGTAATATGTACGTGTATGAATATATACCTAAATTAAAAACAAAAAACTTATTTAAGACATTGAATGTTCCCATTGTAGGTACAGCGAACAACGCACAAAGCTATAGGCAAAATAGCCACGACAACTATATCATACGCTGCAGAAACACACACTTTCGTTAATAGTATACATTTTCCATCGACCTTGCTGACATCTTTAAGCCAGTGCTTACGCCTCTACTGACCACTTCAGCTGTCAATGGCAGACTTCGATGCAATTTATGAGGAAGAGCAATTGGAGGAGCACTATGAAGATCAAATGGTTGCACCCGTGCACGAACCCATCATCATACGAGGTTGTGGCAACATGACAGTGTAAGTTGATCGCTATCATTGTTTATTTTTGATACATACATATCGTCGTTTAAAGTACAAAACCGCGTATCGTCATTCAGCAAATCCGCGTAACTGACATTTGCTACCAAAAATTGGATTTGCTCGCACAAGCTTTTGGCTTAATCCTTATCCATTCGTCTTGACATATACTAGCCAGATGTGCGATTGCTGTATAAAAAAGAGAACTATTTTGAAACATGAGTGCTTTTACCTCCTAGAAAATGATTTATGCAACCTCACATACGCGGCTTTTGCATTTTGTTGATACGCGGTTTTGTACTTTAAACGGCGATACGTATGTATGTATGTAAATATTCATAATAAAGAACATAATCGTGAACATGCCCATTGAAATATTTTTATTTCAATATCATTGGTTGGGGACGACCTTGTCCAAAATATTCCCATCGCTACCAAAGGCAATAGTCACGTTCTTACCCTGTATTTATACAAATTAAACATTTTTCTTATTTGGGCGATTCATTTAATAAATTATCGTCCTTTCATAATTGCAGGTTTGGTCTGAGTAACCGTTTCAACATAGAATTTCCCTCGGGTTTAGTTTCGCGTGTGGCCCCTGAAGAATTTAAAGCAACGATCGGGCGTATTAATGGTGTTTTAAAGAAAACATTACCGGTAAACGTGAAATGGCTTTTCTGTGGCTGCGTCTGCTGTTGTTGCACGCTTGGTTGCTCTCTTTGGCCGGTCGTCTGTTTGAGTAAGCGGGTAAGTTGATACATCCAATGAAGTTATTGAAAATAAAATACTACTTTTGAATGTTTCTGCATTTTCCGTGTGTAGACACAAAATACTCTTGACAAATTGCTGGAATGGGAGAATAGTCATTTATATCATAAACTTGGCCTACATTGGCGACTGCATAAGCAACAATGTGATTCTAATTCAATGATGGAGTATGTATTACGAATTGAATTTATACCGAAAACGCCGATATATCGTCCGGATTAAGAAAAGCACGAAGTCAAACACACATCAGTTTGTTGGGTAGGGTACGTCAATCGTAGGCTTTGATTATGCCGGTACTAGGAAGTTATAAAAAGGTTTGTGTATAAATACTTATATATATACATTAACCAGCAAGTAGATCGTCGATAAAAAATTGCCAACTGACTGACATTGGGTAGTCAATAGTTGTCAGCGATATTCGAACCTCAGCGAAAGAGTTAGGAAGGTGGAAAATAAAACAGCATATCGTAAGGAGTTGAGAAGGTTTTTATTATTGTAATGGATTCTAAGGGGTTTATGGCATTACAATTGGTTTTCGATAGATGACATAAGATGGGTTTGTGGCAATAGGCATTTCGGGAGGTTAATGCTTGTTTTAATTTACCATTACTGCTTTCTTACGTACACACATAATTCTATTTGTTTTAATTATTTAATGTTGCTAGATTTGCATTAACAAATAGCGAAATAAATTGTATTACAAATCTCCTGAAATATTAATGTAAATGTGATGAAAAGTAAAAACAAATATTGTATTTAATTTCAGCTAATTTAAGTAGTATTACGTAGATATAGACACATACATACATACATATTTACAAGAAATCTTAAAAAAATAATATTGCACAGGAAGCTTATGCTGAAGTGACAAAATTGTATTCGCTTAGAATTAAGACAGTGAAATTTATTTAAATGCAAATACTAATAAATAACTTATAAATAAATGAATCTAAGAATTCATTAAAAGATGAAAAACGATCTTTTCACTTAAAATCTGTTAAATACGAACATGCAGTGGCAGCCACATAATTAGGGACACACTTTATAAGTTTTGACCATTTTTTTCCTACTTTTTTTTTATAAAAGTATAGTTTATACTACAACGAAAACCATGTAACACGAAAGTTTCAAATCTTGTGAAAGATTTACAAAAAATTGCCAAATTTCAATAAATGGTCATCGAAATTTAAGTTTTTAATCAGGATATTTGGAAAAGTTCGGGTATGCATTTTTGTGGCCGATTTAGTTTAGTATATTATTATGCAATCTCGAAGTGGCTGGGAATCCGCGTTGGTTTGTGCATTTTTTTTGCTAACGGTGTTTCAACTTTCTACCATACATACATACATATGTAAGTTAAACAAATTTTATATATTGTCAAAACTTGTAAAAAAGTAGTGCCCTAATTATGTGACCGTCATTCATATATCATGGAAATAGCTAGATAAACGTTGTAGATCTTTCAAGTGTCTTCAATAATTGCTCTATTACGAATCGGCATTCCTGAGCGATTCCAAAAGTTCATACGCACATGAGGAATACATGATATGCACGCAGAAATATAAAAATACAAACCCTCTCCTGGGTAAAAGATTGTCGTAAGCGCCATTTTGACGAATTTTAGTTCTAGATGCAGTTATATATTTTGAAATAAGGTCTTTCGGTTGGTGTTATCAGTTTTTAGATATCTCATTAATTTCCGAGATACTGACTACAACTTTTTCGATAATTCAGTAAAAATTTAGTTGGTGATGCAGTCATATTAAATTAATCAATATCATAAAAATGGCGTTCTCCATTTTTGGATATCTCCTTTAGTTTCCGAGATATTAAGTAAAAAGTGCCGTTAATTTGGTAGAAATTTTGATCACTTTTTGTCGTATTTCATACAAAGTGGCTGCCAAATTGTGGACAAATGACGCTTACGACAAAATTTTACTAAAGAAAATCCTTCATAAACTCAAAACTAATTAACAATAAACGTTAAAAATTAAATAATTTAAGAATTTTGAGAACTAGTAACATTTTCAGAGACTTTGGAAATTGCATTCCAAACTTCAATCGCGATTTCCCACAACCTGCCGAAATTAACATACGACAATCTTTTACCCAGGCGACGAAACGTTTCCACGACAGTCGCGACTACGTAATCGGAGCCACTATATTTATTCCTAGTCAGTGCTGTCACTCCAGCAGCATGCACCAAAACTATTTGGAGAATTTACATACATATATGGAGTTACAACAAAAAAAAACTAAAAATAAAAACAAAAAATGTAAATAACCGGTCAAAACAGAAGTACAAAAAATTGTCACAAACTCTTGATCTTGCAGACATTTTTTAGAAAACGTGAGATCGGTGGGGACTAGGACTGGGGGTTATAACCGTATTTTTTAATGTCCGAATAGTCCGGATATTCGAATATCCATTAGAAAAAGATGAAATGGTCAGAGCTTCACGCCTTCTGATTCATATAGCTTAGCTTAGAATAATATGTAATGTAAATGGCAGAGCTATTGGAAATTCTTCTATTGCAACCGCTTCTAAAGAGAAGTTCTTATTCCAAAATCCCGTCTAAAAGCTTTTATTTAAAAAGACACTTTGAAGCTTGCCCCACCCACGTACCTACCGGCTATAAAATCAGGAGGTTCAGTTTGCAGTCACATTTTCACGGGAATACACTGCATACATAGTATATACATGAGTTGATATGTATGTATGAAATATTGTAGTAATCAAGGACCGGGAACGCGTTCCAGTTTTGGTTTAGTTCTACACGAACGTTCTTTTGTGGAACAAAAGCATTAAGAGCAGTTTGAGCGGGAAAAAGATGCGAACAAAAGGTTCGGGAACGTTTCCGTAAAGAACAAAATGCGAACAAAACTCTCGGAACGTTACAAGAAGCACAGATAGAGAACGAAACTTTCGGGAACGTTTTCAAGGAGAGTAAAATAAGAACAAACGTCTGAAGAATGTTCTGCTAGAGAATAAAACAAGAACAAAAGATTGTGAGAGTGTAAGTGAGAGGTTTTATCACGTTTTCTTTCTTTGCTAGAGCTTCTCAAATATTGCAAAAACGCGCGATTTTTTGACACCTTGACCTCGTTTTTCTCAAAACCTGGACCTGATGTAAACTTTTTACTTACCGGTTCGCAATCAGTACAAAAAAGTTATCAAAAACAGGGCTCGAATCGTAACATCCATTCACTGACCGAAAACGATACGAAAGAAAATTACGTTATATGTCAGGCAGTATAAGCTGAATGGGACACAGAGTACGTTCACGTATGCCATAATCCGAAAAATGAGTTTTTACGTGCCGAGTAGTACGATATCGTATGTGACGATTCGAGGCCTGCTTTGACATTTGCCGCACCAAAATCAGTGTTGCCTTGTGTAAGCTTTCCACACAATACTTTGCTTTTGTTATTTTTGTATCGCGCTATTCAATCGTGAATTACAGTAGAACTTGGACGAATCTGGTTACTTTCTTTTTGAATTCTCGAAGCACGTTGTTTGCCACTGTGGGAAACCCAAATTGTTATACACACCTACACATTTCAATTACCTAACTCACTTAATTAAAGTTGAACGCGATTTTTAAGGAGGTGGTAACCCTCCAACATGTTCAGAAATAAAGCCTTTTCAAAACCATTTCGATTGATACCCACATTGTAATAATTCATTTAACTTAATTGCATTTAATTTTTTAACAGGTGGCAACTCTAAAAGTAGATATAAACTGTCTCTTCGCCGAGACGATTACGTATGTAAGTATGCACATAGATATGCGTGTTTCTACAATCGAACCACGACAACATAATACAGTCTATCGATGTCAAACTTTAAGCAACTGTATTTTAGTTGTTTTGGAGGAATAATTGGACGTTCTATTTACTTGCTTTTAAACATTTACAGTTTTAAATGTCGTAACACATCTTTCCTAAACATTTTGAGTTAAATAAAAAATAAAAAAAATTGGCCGATTCATTCGCCGTAACTAAAAAAATGGAAACATGTGCCGCGGGCCCCTATTCAAGCGCATATAAGCGCTTCCTATGCTTAAATTCGGCCCTGTAAATATATATTTTTTGATTAATTTACCTCGATGAATTTGTAATAGATATTTTGCATTTAAGAAGTTTTTATTTTTCGGTTAATTATACATATTTAAGTATATATGTACATACATATTTTAAAGGTTTAACAGTACAAATAATTTACATATGTATATCGTCACCTGAAATGCAAAAATTGGTAATAAACGTCGCCACTGAAATGGAAAAAGTCGTGACTATTATTTTTTCATCAAACGATGTGGGGAGTTATAATTCGATAATTCTACAATATCAATCAAAAAGTGAATTTTGAATTTTTTTATTAGTTACTGCTTTTTGCATTTCAACGACGATGTTTGTTACGTCTTTTTGCATTTCAGGTGACGATATGTGGCTTGTCTTTTTGAAATACTTGTAGTAATTTTTTAAAAATTAATTTGTTTCATTCTTCACCAAACAAAAACAAAATACATATGTAGTTCAATTGTGCTTGTACATAGTAAATATGTACATAGATATCGCTCATTTACTTCAATAGTGTAAAAAAAAAAATAAAATAATAAGAATTGAGTTATGTATGCAGAAAATACCGCTACCACTTCATCTGTGTTATATACATACATACTATGTTGTATCGAGTAGTGCTTAAGACACTATTAAAGTAAATTACCGATATGTATGTACGTTAAAAATCATCTTTAAACATAACTTTCTGGTAGGGAAAAACAAAACAAATTTTAAAACTTAGATCCATTAATTTATAAACTAGTTTTACTCTTATGTGGTATTAAGTCTTAGTGCGATTATGAATGTTGCGCAATGGGAATGTTTATTTTTTAACAAAAAAAAAAAAGAAACAATAGAAAACACAGAAATAATAAAATATAAAATAATAAATAAGTATAAATACATATAGTATATGTACATATAGATGGACCTCTACACTACCGACACAATTAAAAATTCAAAAAATAAAATCATTTACTACTGTTTAGTGGCTCATGTTTCTATTTCCTTGTCTTATCCATGTCTAATCTTTACTAAAGTGAGTAGTAAGGATTAGACATGGATAAGACAAGGATTAGGGACATGACCCACTTAACAGTAAGTAGTAAGAGTGTCGTTATTGCAGAGAACCATCGATATGTACACATTTTTGCAATAAGTGGAATGTTACGAGAACATTGCAATTAACCAGAGACCGAAAATATTCGTTAAAAATCAAGATTTTTATTTTTAGATCATTGGAATTTTTTTTCATTTAAATTTTTTCGGTCAAGAATATTTGTTAAATTTCTATATTTATTTTTTCGGTCACATTTAATAGTTATTTTGTAATTTTTAACTTTTTCAAACAAAAATTATCGCTATTTTGGATATTTACTTTTTTCGATCATTTTTAACCGTAATTATGGAGACTGCGTGTTTAAGAACGATTTAAATTTTTTATGATCTAAAAAATGAACTCTGAAAATAATGGTTAATATAAAAGGGGCTCAAAAAAAAAAAAATAAAAATAAACACGATTATTGATCGAAACAATAAAAATCATAAAATAAAATTGAAAATAACGGTTAATATAAAAAAGGAGCGAAAAAAAATAACACGACTATTGATCGAAAAAATAAAAATCATAAAATAAAATTAAAATTTGATCGGTAAAATAAAAATCAAATTACAAATTTATATTTTTTTTACCGTCACTGCAAGGTGAGAAGGCCTAGTACAGCCATAGCATTTTCTCTTATTAATATTTCTTAGCTTTATTTAACGGAATTTACGTTGGAATGTGCATTGGTTTGTTCCGTTTCGGCTATCTTTTCCACTTGGCCTTACTTACATACATACATACATATGTATGCATGTATCTACATTCTTTTTGCTTAACAGTTAATTCGCAATTTTTCTTAACTTTTAACTTAAGTATTTGAATATTTCTTCTTACACCCTAATGTCCAGTTATTTGTATGGGATCGGATGTATAATCTTCATGTTGCGTATCATCATTTTGTTCCTCTACTTCTTCTTCTTCTTCTTCTCCTTCTTGCCGGCTCATTGCCTCGCGTGAACTTTGTTCTATATCATTGCTATTATCCTGCAAATATTCATTAACTTCATACTCGTACTGATTCTGTGTATCTTCGCCGCCGCCCTCATCATCGCTCAGCTCCAGCTGTGCGTGTACGTTTCTCATCAGTAATTTCACTCCGTCTTCCTCCTCATCCTCATCCTCATCCCTATCCCCATACCCATCCGTAGGCTTCTCCTCGTCTTTTACTTCGTTATTTCTAACTGTTGCTCTACTCTTGCCGTTATGCAAAATTTTTGCATTCTTGCACTTATTTTGCTGTATTTGTCGCGGCTGCAACTTTCCATAATTTAAAATCTGCTTCCGCTGCTGTTTCTCCATTCTCTTCTTGCGTTTTTCCAACTTTACAGCGCTTCCCATCAAATCTTTACTCATTTTTTGGAACTGCTGCGCTTGTTCCTTGAATGCTTGCATCAATACCGCATCTTGTTGCAACTGGAACTCGTGTTCTTCGCGTGCCAGTTTCATTTGTCGCTTGAAGAACTCATTGATCACTTCGCGCTGCATTTGTCGCAAGGAAACGGCCACATCTTGCAATACTCTTGCATAGCAGTTTTCCCGCTCAACACTTTCCAAAGATGGTAGCTCTTGCTGCTGTTGTTGTTGTTGCTGTTGTTGCTGTTGCTGCTGCTGCTGTTGCTGCTGCTGCTGTTGCTGCTGCTGCTGTTGTTGTGTAGCGGTTTGGTATGCCGAATTGCTTGCNTGTTGCTGTTGCTGCTGCTGCTGTTGCTGCTGCTGCTGTTGCTGCTGCTGCTGTTGTTGTGTAGCGGTTTGGTATGCCGAATTGCTTGCCTCGTCGGAACTGACATTCAGTCCATCATCCGCTGCATAATCCATAGCTGCTGGTCGGGGTGCTATATTTCTTAACGTTTCGGGCCCGCATGCCATTCGCTTTGATGGCATTACTGTGCTCATCATGAGCGATGCTTTTAGGCGTCGTTTTCGTGCTTCCATCTGCTGTGCCTGTTGGCTCGTAGACGGGCCGTCTGGGAAACCGTAAAACGGTTGCTGCGCACGGTATTCGTGTGGTGCTGCCGCTATGTCTAAATCGGGCACTACCACTTCTTGATGCAAGACGTACGGCTGTACCACAGCGGGCCGGCCTGAAGTAGGTGCAATAGTTAGCCCTTTTGGACCATTGAATTTGCGTTGAAAAGACATAGCACCAGCGGTATTAGTACCTGTGTTGGCGGTGCCGGTAACCGCGGCGGCGGTGTTAACTCTGCCGCCATTGGCATATACGCTACTGCTATAGGCGCTACTCAGTCGGAATGCACGTGATGATGTTGGATTCATGGCAAGGGGCGGTGGTGGTGGTAAATTAGTGGTCGATATGGGCGTTGCCATATCACTTGGCGGCACCTTGGCGAATGGTGCTATGCGCAGAGGCGGTAATGGTGTGGGACTTGCTGTGCTCGCGCCACCAGATCGTGTCTGCGATGGGGTTGAGACCATTTTGGGTGTGCTTGTGGCATTCGGTGTAGCTGTGGTGTTGGATGTTGACGCAGCGACCGATGTCGAGGGACGCGTGGTGCGTCGGCTCAGTATCATTATCTCTGGGGCACTTTGCCTTTGTTGTGGCTGTTGATATTCTAATTGAGGCTCGACTTGAGGCTGTGGTGTAGCCGAATTAGATGCCATTGGTGAGTCGGTTTCTTCGTTTACCTCCTGCTTAATTTCCGTTTGGAACTGTATATTGGCGGTTGAGTCCTTCTGCTTAGCCTTACCGTTCTCGTAACCTGTGTGAGAAATGAAGTAAAAGTTGGTGTTGAACTCAAAAATCTACATACATAAGCTAAGTATAAAAAGGAAAATATTCTAAGTGGACTTTTTTGTATTTAGACCAGTTATGCTCACGAAAAGCTTTTACTCTGTGTGCGTCCATATAGTAAATCGGTTTGAGAGCTTTACAGAATTCTGCTCGCGGGCGCTGTTTTGAGCAACATCACTAATATATATGGAGTCTTACTAGGTATTCGACAATCTTTTTGCAAATGAAGGTTTCCTTGTCGTCCAGGAGGCATATATTTTAGTACCTTTAATTTACTTTTTAATTGACTTTTCCAAACGACTTTGATGCATAATATTTTGTCACGTCTTTAAGTACAGGATCTTAAAAGCTTTTCGCAGGGATCTAAAAGGAAACTCTTCGTGTAGTCTTAAACTGGTGCACCAATGCCCAAAAAAGGTGTTCACAATCAAGGCGTGGCCGTTCATTCATTCAATTTGTCGAATCTTCTTAAACTCGCCTCTATAGTAGCTTTCTTCAAATATAACGAAAAAAGTTCTCGCGTTGCTATGTTTAAAGCTCCGGATGGCTCTTCGAACCGGTGAAGGAAATCCAAAATGAATTCTTATAGGTAATATGGAAAAGGTAGCTCAGTAGGAAGAGTAAGGATTTTTAACTTCTTGACCAACTGCGTAGGCCAAAGAGTTCGCCATTATACTAATTTTACCCTTATTAAGACATGACATGATTAAAGATTCTCGAGGAAAGCACTAAGGACCTAAGTACCGTCCGGTGCAACATGTCTATCAGCATAGGAAGCTAGTTTCTAATATTGAGGAGGCGTTTCGCCAGAGGCGCTACGGTGAATGTCTAAGAGGGCAGGACGATGGCGGTGAACAAAGGTATTGGCAGTGTACTAGACGTGAAAAGGGCAGCATCCTGTCTCTCTCTTGCATTGAACTTTATTGACCTTGTGTGCAGGAAGCGGTCTGCCCGTTAATCCTCTAAAAAGTAGATAACAATTCACCAGCAGAATAAGAATTAATGATTTGACTATGCGCATCAAGCTGAGTATAACTCAGCGCCGTTGTCTTCTTGAATGTGTGTGGAGGCTTTGTTAAATTTGAGCTCTACCACCTAAAAGGGTTCTATGGGAATATACACAAGAAGAAGAAGGTAGAAGTTGCAACACTTGGGGCTATAAATCTTCATGCTGCATTGAAGATATTTCCAGAGCTATTGTAAACTTACCCTTAGTTCCTTCTTTGGGATACTGGGTTCTGAGATTATTAGCGAACGAGATTGTAGGTTATTTATCGGTTTGTAAGGTTTAGTTTGCCAGTTGGCAGCCCATGTGCCTCTGGCCTGGATAAAGTAACAGTGCATTACTTTAGCCGTATTCTCAACTCAGGGAGTAAATGCGCCTATATCGAAAGTATGGCCCAGATTTAAAACCAACGTATTTACAATCCTCAAGGCAGGAGAAGCAGGAGTTTCTGCAACCGTTATAGCCCACCCACCTTCGGCCATCGAAGCCACGCGCAGAAACTGGGTAAAACTTGCTCCGAAATGACGGGTAGCTTCGGGGCTGCACGTGGGAAAACCTCATGTTACCCTTGACCTCAAAGGGTCTTATGCGACTGTTGATTGGTCACTTTCGGGGCCATTTGACCTTCCAGCCGTGAAGAGGATGAGACGGTGGAGCACTTTTTGTGCTTCTGATTGCCTTTTTAAAAATTAGGTTTGAGGCTTTTGGCAGCAATTGGTTGCGAGACGAACACATGAGCTCTTTAAAACCCAAAAATTTACTCCGATTTATTCGCAAACCACGTAGATTTCACACTGATTAAAGGGAAAGACGAAAACAGACAGTGGACAACATGTAGGACTGTTTTCTGAACGCGTTATTTGTATTCGTTGCGACAAAAAAGTCCTTTTCCGGAAGAAGCGGAAAGTATACAGAAGTATGTAAATGAAGACCCGTTGATAAGACAGACCCGTTGATAAAGCGTTGATCCGGATTAACTCGTTAATTGGGAATTATCTCGGCAATTAACTGCAGTTGATCCAGATACAATCCTGCAGCTAATCCGCCAAATTATGCGAGATGACAGTGTTGAGAGTGGCGTACTACAATTCCTTAGGACCCTAGGTTCGATACTCGGTTCGAGCGTTTGCCAAAATATTTAATAATTTCTTAATGTATTTTTTAAATTTTTTCATTTTATTAAATGAAAATTTTACTGGCCGTGTGACTCGAACATCCACCGACCTCGCGGCTCTAATTCGCATCTCACTTTAATTTTGTCATCAAGTCTTGATCGATGCCGTCTGTCTTTGCTATAAACTACTCAAAAAAGTGGAGTCTTACTCGAAAAATTAATGTTAGCAAGAACAGTCAAACAAATCGCTTAAGAAGTTCCATTTTGGAACAGATTATAGTTCTCAGTGCTTTAGATATCGTTGTATTTAACATTCGTAAAACTTAAATCTTCATTATTTTTATTTTATTGTGAAACGATTGATGAACACAAAAGAAATTAGGTGTCAAGCACTTTCCTATCCACCCACCTGTATCAGCTGGCTCTTGTTTCACCAGTCCCAAACGAAATCCAAAAATGGGATGTGCTAAGCCATTCTCTTCTTCCGAGTCTTGGCCGTTAGCGCTCTCATCTAGCAAATTTTTGTTCCCACTTCCATAGCCACCTTCAACGCCTGATATTATCAATTGCCTCTCATTTCCGCCACAATTGCCATTTTCCATGGCACAATTGGAATTGTCACCATCCAGCGATGTGGCTGAATTACCGCAATCACTGGTCGAACGCACCGACAAATTGTTAGTTCTGTTGTGCAACATTTTATGTAATTCCTCATAAATCGGTTGCGGTATCATTTTTGGTATGATACCATTACGTCGTGATGTTCTATAAGTTGACTTGAGAAATTTCCACTTGGTCGAAATTTGTATGTGCGATTTTTTTCGAAAACCACGTGCAAACATTAGTCGTTCCACTTTACGGAACTACTACATCGCTCTTCATTGCCTTTTGGTTGAGCATATCGAGAGCGTTTATCTGCTGCATAATTTTCAGCACCTCCATGATCTCATTGGTGCGCCATAAGATTACGTTCGCGTCCAGTCTCCATGCGGACTGGCGTCTGTTTGTTGTTGTTGTTGTTGTGTATGGGCGTTAGTAAGGCGTCCACGTCACCGACAATGCCAGTGGCGGTCGCTGCTGTTGTTAATAACTGATTAATATGTTGTTGTTGCATGCTTAATGCTAGGCTTAGTTCTGGATTATATCCGTTGAAGTGATATTGCAGCCGTGGCATCAACATTTAAGGGCTGCTTTCGGATTCAATCGATGGCAATTGGAGGATGTGCGAACTGGAAAATAAAATAAAATAAAAGAAAATAAATAGTTAGGTATTATACAATTAGAAGATCTACATAAGTATGCACTACATATTATATAACGAGCAATGATTTCTTTGTCTATGGTGATATACTTTGGATCTACTGAGTACATTACAAAATTTTCTCATGTGATGCCTTTCCCTCTCATGCTATCAATCTCCTCCTTTTCCATCTGGTTAGTGGCACTGTTAACCTCAACCTTCGTTGGGGAACAAATAAAAGAACTGACTCGACCCTTGATTCGTCCACGGACCACCCCAATTCCACGTTTATGATTTCTTTGGCTTGAGCTCGAGGTTGCGGTATTCTGTTACCTGAGTATGTAGAGGTGACATCCTACAGAAATGGCTTTGAAACTAATGCCGTGACTTGCCCCTATGAGGGTAAGGGCCCAACCCACCGAATAGCCTCCCTGTTTCATAGAATACCATGGAATGCAATAGTGACTGCATTGCCCGAGAGAGGATAACGGATTCGGGTGGGGACTGTTTTAGCATGGACAAGCCAATACGTTTGAAATGAAAAAAATAAATAAGCCTTCGTCTTATCCAGCTCGGGGAAAGACAGCGCAAGAGCAAGCGCTTAACATGTCATTTCACTATATGGATGACACTTCTTGGGCGGCTTTGTGGACAACCTCAGGTTGCTCCGTGGTAGCGGGGTTCACATTAAACGTCGTACGAAGCGGTTTTACGATCTGGATACAGTGGGGAAATTCGACTAGCGACCAAAAAAGATATCACCGAGGGTAACTACGGACGACTACCCTCAGGGTAAGGTCGTTGGTGGGTTGCTTCATGCTGAAAATCATAGGACCGCTAATACTTCAAATAGGTAAGATGGCATGATGTTGTATACGTTGCTTCATAGAGCGACAAAGGCAGTGGTGAGGGTGAAAGCGAAGCTACAAAACTTCCAAAAAAAGCTGTCAACATAACTGTCATAAGGCAGAGAATTACTTGGGCGATAGAAATCTTCAAGCCTTATAAAGCGGCACGACCAGATGGGATTGTACTCGCGCACTGGCTGCGATGCTTGACATCTCTGTTAATTGGCTAATGAAAATCCTCATAGTATGTATCATAGTAAGCTTAATTACGTACGTGGAGATCCGTCTCGGTTGCCTTCATTCCTAAAGTCGGTAAGGCTTCACATACAAACCTAAATGATCTCAGACCTATTAACCTCTAATCATTTGTAGTTAAAACCCTAGCGAATATAATTAGTAACTACCTATCTTTCGTTATTGACAGTCGCTTGCTGTCTAACAATCAATATGCCTATCTGAAGGGCAAGTCCAATTTATTGAAAAGTCCTCCAGTTACTAGGACTAAATTCAAAGGCCATAATACAGGGCTTGAGGGGACTGGAAGTGGACGATTCTTTGGATGAGTTTATTTGGCAGTTGCTCTTGTGCAGGCTGATCGCGGCAAACGACGCTGAGAATCTGGCTTCAAGATGCATATGTGACAAGGGGCACACCGCAGGGTGTCGTGTTCTCGCCACTCCTTTGGAATTTAACCGTGAACTCCCTGTTCGCGAACGACGGAATGGGGAGCCGCGAAGATTGTCGCTTATACGGAATACCTATCCATCGCATATAGGGACAGGTTGCCTCAAACTCTGTGCGATTTGATGCAGAGGGCACTTCGCAATGTATTAAGATGGTGGCCTTTGCGTCAATTCGGATAAAGTGGAACTTGTTCTCTTTACCAGATGACAAAAGACACCACTACTGACTGCGTCGGAACTAAATGGGCGCCTTTTAATGTTTACACGAATAAAGAGAAATTCATAGGCGTAATTTTTGATCGAAAACTGAGCTGCAAGGAGAACAGAGTACAGTGTTATGAGATGGCGTCTGTGGCGCTATATTCGTGCAAGACGGCCATTGGGGTTGACTCCAAGTATATGTGCTGGACTGCCGCCGATCTCTTCAAGATAGGTCTAAGCAGAACAGTCTAAGCCTCATTTGGGTCTCCTGACTTAGAATGGCTCGGAGTATCTTATCATCTCGTCTCTATCGGCAGTATCGAGGAGTAGATTGCGCTTTTTGGGGTATAATCTCTTTGATGACCTTGATCAATTGGGAGACATAAACCTTGGGTGCTTGACCAGTTTCGTCAAGGATTCAATATATTTTATTTTTATTAATTACATAGGTTTAGAAAAAAAGTTTCTGCATATTGAACCAAACATATAGATATATCCCCAATTTACTCGAACGCTGAATGCTGAATCCGAGGTCTGTTAGCCTCCACCACGTCAGGTT